TTGCTAAAAACTCACCAAGGAATTTTTCACTTCCGAACACACTCTCATTTGCCTACTGCAAGCTTTACTGGATGTAGAAAGAAAAGTTTTTCCAATTGCAGGAAAATAAACATTAAATACAGTAGGTATTCTTCTCAGGTATTCTTTCCATCCAATTAAACAACAAGAGCGAGCAGACGCTGTGATACAATGGAGCCTTTTCGCAGATCGAGCGGATCTCGAAATAGCTTTTTTCTACCTCTTTTTCTACCTTTTGTGTTACGCGTGAGAAACCTTTTATATCGAGAGGTAATTTATTCTTATTTAAAATACAATTTCGCTATATATTCAGTCTGAGCGTCCAAGTCTTGGAGGCCAAGCTATGAAAGCAGAGCATCACATGACAAAGCAAAGTACGCTGGAATACACTCAAAAAAGAGAGTAATTAAGCAAACATGGTTGATTGCTAATTTCGGTTGTCGGTTAAGTTAATTAGATCTCAAATTTTGACTCCGTTGAAGGAGAACATACGTAAGCTGCAAGCTTTGTGCATCAAAACTTAAAGGCAGTTCTTGTATATCGTAGAGACGGCTGTGAGCCATGATGACGTAGTGAACAGGCGAACTGCTTTACCTCATCTTGAAACTTATACCTTTATATAAAGAGCGCGTTCCTCCAGTATCGGATGGTACAGTTGTCAGAAGAAGAGCAAACACGAAGTGCAGATGAAAACCGTTGACCTAACTCATCACCCTGGTGGAAGCACTCTTTACTTGCAGCAGCTTACATCGAAGAGATTCCGTTCCTTTTGGCATAATTGCAGGTTTGTTCAACAGCTGTGTACCATACCTCACTGTCTTGATGGCTGTTTGACTTGATTAAATACAACAGCCGTGAAGGTCCATCAAAATTCTTATAGAAGATTTAATGGGGGACGACGAAGCTATGGTAATTAAGGGTTAACAGACATCTTTACATTAGCAAAGCATATTTAGACCAGAGGGCTGAAGGCTACTCCTGCGCGGTGTATTTAACAATCTCTTTTCATAGTAAGGCAAGCTTAAATGGACAGAGGATAACGCTTCTGTGCACAGTAGATAATGATTTCTATAAAGAATTTGTTGCAGGATGGCTCCACAAGAGATTGGCAAACTGCAAGTAATGGAGATAAGTAGCACTGAAATTCCTTGCAGCAAACTGGCATAGACAATCCGCGGCTTCCCAATCGTGAAGGGGACGTACGGTGGGATAAACACTGCTAAACCGCTACAGTAACCGTAATGTGTGTCGTGATCCCAGAAACGGCTGAAAGAGGAAGTTCTCATAGACTGCCTCACAGAGCTATTAGCATCCTAAGATAGTTCTGTCGTCACTCCAATTTTCTAGACCAGAATGCACGAAAGAAGATGGGACCAAATTCACACAAATCCCTAGAGCATAGGGAGATTTTCTGTCACGCAGCCAACTTTTCAAAAGATGATGATGAATCATTAACTTGCTAGCCGACTAGAAATTCGGATGAAATTGAACATGTTTAAGAGCAGGAAATAGAGGGAAAGGAACATTCTTCGCAACACTTTGGCAATCAGAACGGAGGAATTACAGCGCGAAGACGTTGTTTCTTTGAACCGAGACGACACTCATCAAAGAAAAGAGTAATGGACTGACTCACAGTCTTCTCATTACTAAAAATGATTAGCAGGTAATGTATAGATTCATTAGCCTACTGACGTCGTTCCAGGTGCTGTCATCGAACTTCCCCAAACGTCATTCGGAAATAATGCTGTATGGTCGAGTTATCATGATCGCTGTTGCAGGGTCGACTGAATCTGTCCTTGCA